GGCAGAAAAATAAAAAAGGAAGATACGAGACTGGAAAGAGAATTCCAGTCCTTTACATGACAGTTTGGGAAGTCCTTTTCTTCCTGTTCTTATAAAGCAGATGCTCTTTTTTTCCTTTATGTTTCTATTGCCTGTCTTTGCATGCCCTTCCTCTTATAATAGTTAAAAGTCTCTGTCTCTTTCAGCTCTTCTCCATTTCTGCTCACACTACACTAACCATAGTTCCCTTGAAAGAACCTGTCATTCTTCTTCCACAAAGGTAACGATGCAAGTCTCCTCGCATAGTCAGGCCGCAGGTATCTAGTCCCTCTTGCATTTATTTTGCACAATAAAAAGAAAAGAATTACTTATCCTGAAGATATGTTGCAGATCAGCTTCTTCCACTGCGTTTAAACCTCCTAACCATTCCCTGGATCTAAGTGGCTGGGAATGTACTACTTCACTTCAAAGTAATTTAATTTTAATGAGCACACCACTCTGAGCGTACATTTTCAAAACAAAAAGCATTCCAAAAGAGTGTATTGAGAATGTTTTCTTCATTAAAATCAAAACAGTTTGAACTGAAGGAGCACACTCCAAGCCTCTTCGATGCCAAGGTGGCAAAGCCAGTTTTAATCCATGCATATAAGGGATGTGCAGGAGATTAACCAGATGTTCAATTACTCCTCCTAAGAAACTCCGTGATGTATTAATATGCCTGCCTGTGCCTATGATCGCATAAGTACTGTTGGGTACATACCAAATAAAACAAAAAATCACTGACTTGCACATTGGGAATCTGCAGATCCTTAAATTTCTACTTAGTCGGGCAATACTTGTATGTAAATATTATGGCATTCACAGACTATCTTTTGAAAGCTGAAATTCTTCAATATATAATGAAGCATTTGATTGTTCCCAACTACGCATTTTCTTGAGAAAAAAATGTAGATATAAAAACTAGAAGAAAGTTTGTGACACACTGTAGGATTCATCTGACTAAATTTAGGACATTTTTAATGTTTATGTCTGAACTACTCATTCTGGCTTCCTCTATGGCACCTGAAGAGAGACACTTGCACTGAGTGCGTGTGATTTACTTTGTCCTGGAGCAGATATGTAAAAGTGACCTAAAAATGCCTATTTCTTTCCATTGACTCTAATAGGGAGCCAAATATGAAAAGCTCTTTTTCCATATCAGAAGGGGAATGCCTACATTTAGATATCTAATGGTAGGGGTGATGGATCCTCCCTGCAGAGTTAGAAGTCAGGACATACGTACTTGTGCTGATACTTTAGTTGTGTTCCAAAACATCCATCTTCAATTATCATAATGAATATAAAGTCTAAATAGAAGAGAACATGAAAAAGACTTGACATTTCAGCCTTCACTTTTAATGGCTTTGGTTTTTTGCCTGTTTATCTCTATATACACTTTTTAATTATTTGAAGAGACACAAATTGTTCTAAGGGCTGATTGTCTCTTGGAATGTGCAAAATATAAAAAATAATTGATTTCATGAACTTAGGAAGGTAAAGATGTTACACAAAACCTAAATTTTCCAAACATGTTGAATTCTTTGAATGAATGATAATGCATATATTTCTGCAAACTGGTTCCTTGAAACACAATACTCTAGTGTTTCGCTAGTAAGATGGAAATGAAATTTAAAATAAATAATTTTATTTTATGATGTGAAAAAAAATAGGGTTTATATTTTCCAAAGTGTCCTCTAATTCTTCTGTTTCAGTTTTATGGCCACGAAGACTAGTATCTACCATAAAATGAGTGGACAAATAAGAACTATTGTATGTACATCAATATATTGTATTTTACTGGATGTCCAGTTGCAAACAGTTATGCCTGCAGTATTTTTGTGGATAGAGGTGTTTGTGGGTTTATAATTACACTTCTTATATCAGAAGCTGGGTTGGACCTTGGCTGAAAATACGTCACATGACATCTTAAGGCATTCTGATAAATTGATAAATTCTCTAACCGCTGTGTAAGCTATTCTCATTATTATGGTCTTAATAATTACTGACCTTAAATTTAAAAAAAAAAAGGAAGAATTGTGTTAACACAGGTCACAACTGCTTAAGTGCACTTTACTTACATGGTAGGTGACAATTAATGTATAATTACATGATAAAAATAATAGTAGTGTGCTAATTCCAGAGAAAGAACCTAGAAACACAAAGTGGAAAACAGTAGAGGAACCCAACTGCCTGTACTATGCAGAAGACGCAAAAGGAGGCCTCCATCACCTGTTTTGGGACACCTCTGTTTGTCTAGAGAAATGAAAGGGGAACTGCCCCTATAGAGCAGAAATCCATGTGCTTTTATGTTGGACTTCGGGTGGGACAGCAGTATGAGCTGATAGGAGAGGGAGGCTTCCTACTGCTCAGGCTCTTCTCCTTTAGAGATAGTCTAGTCATGCTCTGTCTGGAAAAATATGTGCAGAATGATCTTGAATGTCCTGCTGCAGGTTTTGCAGCTTCATAGTGTCTGACAAAGCCTTGTCATTTGAAAGGTCTTGAAAACGTCTAAATTTATATTGTACTGGACATCAAAAATATTTTGAAAAAAATCCCTTGCCCACCCTCCTTTATTTTGTTTATGGCAGCGATAAAAGTTAATCCAGCTGGTCAGTTCTAGCCAGTAGTATTTTGGGGCTTTACCTCAACCCTTGCTTCTTACACACTGCATACATAAAACCACAATCACATTCTTTATCTGGCTGGACGTGTTTATCTGGATCTGCTTGAGACTCTGGTTTTCTCCTATGTACAATTTTTTTTGTGTTCCTATCTTCAATTCACTGCAACACATCCTTATCAAAAGATAAAGTAATGCTATATAATCAAGTAGTGTTGAGAACCACAAAGGCAGACACAAAAACCAAACCAGTTCCTTTAATTTCTGATCTGCTCTAATATCTGTTTTTTTCCAATACATAGACTTATGCTGGGTTCGGTCAGGTTTAATAACATAATTGTTTACAGCTTTCTGGACCAAAATACAGCTTTCTAAACCTAATATGTTTACCAAGTTAGAAGAGGCTAAATATTTGCTACCGTATTTTCTTATATTTTATTACATCTTCTACTACATACTTAGTAATCTCTTCTGAGCATAAAAATGATATACAGAACGGTGATTCAGATTTGGTGTCTATATCCCATCTTAGAGGTAAGCTTAAAATACGATACAAATACAGTTAAAAAAATTAAAGGAGCAGTACATTAAGCTCATAGATTTTCAGGCACTTTTTCCAAAGTGGCCTCAGGAATTGGAATTCCATGTAAGACAAAGTAGTTATTGTCCCAATTTTTACAACTTAACTAAGGTCTCCTTTTGTTTAGGTCTCCTAGATAGCCTTTATCACCAATGGAAAGAAAGAGCCATCACCGGAGAGTAATTTAGACCTCAGGTGGAGTGGATGGTATGGTGGTAGGTATGTCTGTCTTATCAAGGAATCATGAACCTTCCCTAGATGTCTCACCCATATGTCTAATCTTAACTGGGCTGGATTTGAGTCTCTACATCTGACAAAAGACGGTATTGTAGATAGGTAGGAGAGGATACTACTAGAAGTTGACCTTAGCTATCCTGCTTCTGGGGTTGCACTAAATTGGAGAACTCCTGTGCACCACCTAAGATCTATTGGCTAATATACCTGAGCTGAAGGCAGTAACTTCTTTAACGATGCAAACTTGCTTTGAAAGAGCTGTCTTTTAGAAATAATTTTGAAAATTTGTCCCAAGATTATACATATTCACTTTAACAACAAACAAAAAGTGGATACTATTTGATAACTTGCAAAGCCCCACACTTCATTTTTCAATTATATTTTTCAGTTAAATTATGTCTTGTAAAAACTTACAATACTACACACACAAGATAAACAGCATGGAAAATATTTCACTTTCAAAGCTTTTAAAGGCATCTCTTGAAAAGAAACCAAGTTCTGATCTTCTGCCCAAACTCTCCAGTTGATCCACACATAAAACTTCAACCCCATTTTAAAAGAAATATCCATAAGTATCCCCTATTTATGAAGTATCAGCTACAGTTGTGTGTCTAACAATTGAAAAATCAGGTAAAGTCTCTGTTTTTTTACAGATGGGTCCAAACATTGTAGAGTAATAGCTAATGGCTTCAAGTTTGCACATACAGTAGAATTTTTTTCTATCTGTAACTTCTTTCAGAGAATAAGTACCATATTTTTCTCTTTTGTCTTTTTCTTTCCCACCAAATGCTGTGTTTCATTTGGTTTTGCATACGTAAAAGCTTAATGGGAATGGCAGTATTTGACACTTTGGTCTTAAGAAACGCTATAAATAGTTTTCACTTTTATAAAGTTTAAATCCCACAGACAGATTGTAGTAATGAACTGAATCCCTTTCAAAGGCTTTTCAGTTCACTTTTGCAATCTGACTGGAATCTAGGATACTCCGCATGAAGTCCACCTGTACCTATTGCACACTTCAGTTGTACCAATGCCTGCACACACATGCAAACAAAACTAAATCAGTAAATGGTGAACTATTGGATGGAAGAATCCAAGATTTCCACTAGTGAGAGCAGAATCAGACCTATCATATCTGAGACAGATATGATTGTCAGCAACAAAATGGCAAATATTTTCAATTGCATGTGGTTACAGGTAGGTTCAATGATTATCACTTGTATCTTGCAGGAATAGTTTTTCTTCTCATAGCAACACAGTATTTTCCAGTGGACTTTACCTAGTAGGTCACGAAATCCTTTACAGTCATGTGGAATGTTAAATCTCCAGAATTATAAAGTTTCATACAGACTGGCTCTGAAACTTTAATCTTGTTTTCTAGGTATAAACACTTCTGATAATAAGAGAAATATGAACAGCAGTGTATGATCCCAAACAACAATTTATACTGAATTAAAACATTAGCTTCATCCCTTAGACATGAGACACAATTTATTGTCTTATATAATTAGAACAACAGAGCATGCAATTTGTTTATGCACCACTGACCTCTAAAGAGCTCATTGATATTGTGGATCCAGTTTCACTTCTTGATAATCCTGCATTGTCATCCAGCTCTGAGGCAATGAAATTCTTCACTGCTGTGCGGGGCTCAAATGGTAAATTCTGCATATGTTCTTGGGTGGGAAGATGCTGGTCTAAATTGATATTAAATTGGTCCATTACAGAGGGATTCATATTGAACTCTGGATTAACTTTGTAATGCAGCAGCCTTTCATGAGGCAACGTATCCATGCCTATATTCATTTTGCTCTCATCTTTCAGTGATGGCTGGGTATTTACTGAGCCCCGGGGCATGACTATATAGTCACTTTCCATCATCCGTTCTTGAGGATGGACTATGTCCATATCTGCACCTCTCAAATTATCATCAGTGCATAAATACACAGTCCTCCGCAACTCACTGTTGTCTTTTTTCAAGCACTGATTGGCCAGTTCACTCATACTCATAGGCATGTGGAGACCTGTTGGTTGCTGGATGATGACTTTGGAGATGATGTTTCCAGGCAAGGTAGAATAGCTCATTCCTTCAGGGTTTGGTCCCTTCTCCTCCTCTTCATCATTTAGTGAAATTCTAGAAAGTGTTCCTGTTACAGTAGCTGCTCTGCAAGGTCCAATGTCTTTATGCAGAACTGTGGGTCAGAGAACAGAATTCTTACAACATGGAACCATGTCTGCCTAACACTGCTTTTTCTTGTGGTTTTATTTAGAAGCGCTCCCTTTACCAGTGCATCTTCTTAACTCTTTTTCTATCCATTTAATAACTTTTATTCTCTAAATATTGTTTTGGGAAAGTTTTTTTTTTTTTTTTTTAAATCAGTATCTCTTAATCGACTGTGTATAACTGACACAGATCTCTGACTAAGCTTCAGTCATTTATATAAATTAAAACCAGTCCTTGCATAGATCTTAGGTGACCTACAGCTTAAGCAAAAGCCTGCCATGTGGAACTCGGTTTAGGGTTTTCAAAAAAAATGCGCTATCACATCTGTACTGCTATTATTAACTCCACATAACCTCCTGGAAAATGTCAAACAGATTGTAAGGCAGAATCATTTTGTCAATCCATTGTAATGACCTACCATAAAATTATAACTATAACGTGTTCCTGAGCTCCTAAATGTTCCTTTTCACTGGCTTTTTTAAACTCTTCTGTGTTAAATTATTTTTTAAATAGAAGTGACAAAAAAGCAACCACATTGGGAAGAAATTCCATTGGTATCAGAAAGACATACTTTGCTGCATCTGAAAAGGTTATAAAAACTATAAACATGTCTCATAAAACAGTCATAATCCGCTTTTGGTGTTGGCCTAGACCTTCTTGGTCAAACTTGTAGCAACATTCAGCAATTTTTTGTTGGGGTAGGCTCCACATGTAAAAGTTGTTAATCCTGGGATAGAATGCAAAACTTCCAGGAGTACTGGAGGATGCATTCAAAAACAAAGCATCTATTCAATCACAATTATTGATCTTAAAAAATAAATATAAGTCTATAATTCAACATTTGTAATTAAAGTAAAAGGATAGACAGTAAGAAAAAAGAAAAAATTAAAGTAACCAATTACTGGGCTTATTCCAGCTGGGTGAAAGGATTCTCTTGTCCCAGTTGAAAATACTTTAATTCACACCAGTGATAGTTTGTGCAATAAAATCCGGCTCATGGGCTGAGACAGTAAGACAACTTGAAGTATCTCAGGTGTTAATTTACATCCCTTTTGGTAGCCTGAGGGCTCTGATGACCCAAATCCCCAGTACCTGTCAGTTCACTGCCATGTTCCATAGCAAACAGCTCATAAGGCATCCCACTCTCCTACCTCACACAAAACTGCATTTCATTTTTCCATTATGAAAAGAACAATTTGCCTTTAAACAACAGTGCACAAATATCTGACTTCAGTGTGGCTGCTTCATTGTTTCCAGTCACACTTGTTAGACACTTCAACCAGTGACCTATTCTTAAATCTTTCATTAAAAGAAACTGAGTTTAAATGTTTATCTAGTAAATCCTGTTCATAACTGTATTCAAAGTCCATATCCTTAAGGATGCCCTGACAAGGCTCTCCATACTGCAGAGCTATGTTGGCAAAGGTAAGAAGTAGGAGCCACGTGGACCAATGCTGGACTTTTGTCTGCATTGGATGGTGACAGACATGCATTTGTGTTACAATGTACTATCCTGCTCCCTTCAAATACATGTACATATTAAAACTAATCTATATGGAAGAACTATTACCATATTGCAAGAAACGGAACTGGCAGTTTTTTAAAGGTTTTTTTACCTTAATTAATGAGATCAGCTTTCTTGGCTCCCCATATAGTGAAGACAGACAGTGTCCTTCAGGTGGGTGATGCAGAACAGCTAAGTCAGGCTTCTGCCCTGACTCACCCTGCGGAGAGGACACCCTCTCTCTCTTTCTTTCTCCCTTCATTGAAAATTGAGGGTGTCTAGGCAGGATTGCCTCCCTAGGAAAACTGTCCTTTAGGAATATCTCCAGGGTTTAAAAATTTCTATAGGGTTTAAATGGTCATTTATTTTATACTGTATTTTGTTTAAGCAAGGTTGGCAAATAAATTGCTTAAAATGTGTTATTTTTAATACGCAGAAACAGACGTAGCTGACTCATTGAAGACCACACTACTGAAACATCTTAAAAAAAACCCAACTTGTTCCAGTAAAGTGGAATCAAATTTCGCTTTCCTGATACCATGTTGCTTAAGTTACTGTTGATTTCATTTAGAGTCCTAAAAAACTTAGCCTCTTTAAAATTAACACCAATTGATGCATCCTTCATACACGTAGCTGTTAAGACACACTATATCAATTTTGGGTTTTTTTTTATAGCAAAATGACTGTTTCACATTTGCTTGTATACCAGGGCAAAGAAAGTTTTGTGTGTTAAGACTGATCTTTCCAAAACCATTTGCCTTCCAAGAGACAATCACACCTTTGGCTGCTTCCCAACTGCTGTATTCTAGTAAAAGATTTTTGTAAGAAAATGAAATAAATGTATTTGTACAGTGGCATCACGTTTTTTGTTTACATTTATAAATATGTGCTGTAAACAATTAAAACCTGATATTTTTCTGGTTTTCACTTCACAAGGAACTAGTACAAGACTTCTTTTTGTTTCTAAATACTCTCTCAATGTTCTTACCTGACCGACAAGCAATGTCCACGTCCTTTTCAAAATCAGTCTGTAACAAGAAACAATGAAACAGGACAACAATTATTAATTGAAAAGAAACCACAATACCTTTTTGCCAACTAGCGCTTCCAAAATGTCCTACTTACAGAGTCATAGTCTCTTAAAAGTGGTTTCTTGTTGCTGAGAAGGTGAAGTGTATTGTTTTACAACAGCAGAGCTTTACAAAGTTTCCTAAAGTATAACTGGGTGGTTTTCAATGTATGCTGCCTGACCAGAAAAAATAAAATAAAATAGGTGGAAGTAGAGTATATAATTTTAATAAAACGATACAGTGTATAGTTCTTTATGTATATGGAAGAGTAACTTCTACATCTCATTGAAGGAACATCTTTAAGGAAGCTTTTCATAGTAATTTTATAAACAGAAGTATGGAAAATAGCCTGCAATACAAATTGCTGTGAATATGTGTAATCCAATTAGTCCACCCTGCCTGAAACGTCATTAATTTGTTGTGAAGTAGTTATTTGTTATATAACACTCTGTCCATCCTTGCTACTAATGTAATCACATAAACTTTGTACTCCCTGAAAACAACCATTATTTATTTCATCAGCCAAAAATGAATTTTAAGAATTAACTTTAACAGTTGAAAATCCAAGCACACTTTTCACAGTTAAATAAAACTATTTATCCTGTTAGAGAATTCAAGTAATTTTTAATTATGTTTTTATTTCCACAAAAAGTTTATTGCACAAAAAATGTTTAATAAAACTGCTCTCTTTCTTGCTTGTGAAGTCCAAACATTGGATTCTTTTTGAGTCATCATTTTTGAAGGGCATCTGCTTGCTGAGCCTTGCATTTTTTTGAGGGCCTGATTCTGTCCCCATTATAGTAAATGACAAACTGTCATTGAAAGTAAAGGGACCAATATTTTGTCTTAATATACTACCTGACAATATTAGTAAATCCAAATTGGCATACTGAGCCATTCACTATCTCCTTAATTCGAGCCACTAAATAGATTCCCCCTCTAGAATCTCTAGCTCTTTCTCCTTGTCTGGCTTAGTTTGAACATTTTTCAAGGCCTCATGAAGGGAAGACCCTCAAATGCAACAGTGCTTTTTACACCAACAGTAGAAAAAGTTACGATATATTATTAGATTACTTTCTCATTCTTTTTTGTACAAATCATTTGTCATAAAGAACACCGACGGAAGATACTAATTCACTATGCTCCACTAAATGATCACACCAATAATTTGAAACTTGCTAAGAGATTTAAGCAAGCAGGTAATTACCTAAACAGACTTTACGCTTAAAAATGGTGTTAATATTTCAGCTGTGCATACTTGCCACGTACAATACTGTAAGTTTTTTCTTTTGGATAGGAACACTAAATTAATAGTCAAAGAAGAAAATGAAAGCTAACCATGATTTGAGCATGTCCATTAGGAAAAGAACTTGAAGAATCTGCATTGATTGGATCCTGGCAATTTCTCAGTCGACATCTGAATGCATCTTGAACCTGCGAAAACAATATCTTATACTGATTCTTGTACAAGATCATATGGTCTACTCCTATTAAAGATTAAATTAAACTGCATGGAATACAATGCATGACTTTTCTTTAGCATACTTAATAAATTGAAAGCAGTAAAGGCAAATGCTTATTTCTGCCATTTCATACATTTGCTATATTTTGTGGCTGCTGCAAAGTCTGTCAGTCTATCACATCAAGACCACAGAATTGGATTTTTCTATGGACAGAATTAACTAGTAGTCAGTGATGATCTGGTACTCAAGCCAAATCTGTCTTGGGTGATAGTATTTGGCTTTGTCTTCTCATTCAGTTTGGTACAGGTCTGATAGTATTAATAGATAAACTATTAACCATTGCAAAATAAAATGTATCTTCTGCTTGATAAATGTAAGATTCTTGAAGGACAATTCTTAACAGTTACTATAATTAGATGCATAGTGCTCTCCTAATTATACTTTAAAGAATAAGTCAATTTGAAAGATGTTACTGATTCCAATCATAATCTCTAACTCCATGTATAGGGAATCTCATGCATCTCTTCTAGGAGTAAAACTCTTCAGATCAGGTAAATATCTTCAGTGTGAGCACAAGAAGAAGAAAAGTGGACTGTTTGCACAGAATCTGGTTTCTTGAAACTAGAAGAAAAAAAGGAACTTCTGAGAAATTACTGTTTACTAATATAATCCATAAAGTAAATTTGAAGACTTGTCCCTAAAACACAAGTGTATTTTGAGGAATTATCTTTTCATAGGAAAGGCTATTTATGTCTATGTATGTCTAAAGAAATACTATTACACAACACTTTTGTTAGAAAGATGTGGTTCAACAGAGAGGCACATTCAAAATAAAAGTGCAGTTCCTGTTTGCTGACAGTAGAATGCAAACACATTTTGCTGCTTTCTCACATGTACCACAGTAAGGACAGCAAGGCAACTTTTGGAATGGAAAGTTTTCAAATGTGAATTTTGGTTCCAGAAATGCAAGTGTTCATATCAGCAACCTGACTGCAAGATGTGACTGCGAAAACAGAAACTTAGTTGGGTGACCTCCAATCAAAACAAACTAGTATCATTTCTTGCTTGAATATGAAAGTACTCTCAACGAAATGCCTACAAAATTCTACATTCCATTTACTATCTGTAGAAATTACTTGATGTCTTGTTCAGAATAATTAAATGGGAAAAAATGGAATTCTACTCATGGATATTTTGTAAACAGCAGAAGAGGATAATTCATTAATTGTTGATGATGAAAAGCTGTCCCTTTTCAATACATCGTAGTCTACTGCTAGCTGTTTAAGAGCTTTCACAAAATGGAAAATGCAAAAGAAAAAAATTATTTATTTTTGTAATTAGAAAGTATTATTTTAAAGTGCTCAACCCTTAAAAGAGTAGTGTTCTGCAGTCTTGATAAGTGACTGTTGCAGTTGGAAGAAGACTAATATAAAGCAGAAAGAAGAATGAAGCAAGGTGGGAAGGTTTGGATTGATTTCAAAACACCGAGACTTCCCACATGTAGTAATGTAAAGTGTGCTTGACCTGTATTGTGACTCAGATTCTGATTTTAGGCACTGCACTTGCTGTGGTTTTCCATGTGTCTGACGTTAATTTAATTTAGCATCTCCCAGTTTTTGCAAATTTAATCTAAGTCTTCTCTCACTTCATCAATGCTGAAGTCAGGTCACACTTCAGAGTTTTATGCTCTTGGATAAGCGCTGGCACAGTGATTTGACAAAAAAATAAAATAAAAACCCCCTCCCTCCAAAGCATCCCTAGCTGTGCTGAATCTCATCTCAAGCCTTGTGATGCTTGACCCAAAGCATTATTACTTCAGAACATACTGTGTGATCTCACTCTGTGCAGTGGTCCTCCTTATTTTTGGGACTCTGTGTTCATGAAACTTCCTCAGTTCAGATAGCTCCACAGATCTCAAGAATCTCATGTCCTACTTTCACTACCTTCTATATTAAGGTGGTGAATCTTGATGTTAGGATCCTCTTAAATGTGCATGTTTCTTACAGAATTTCTGAAGTGCAAGCAGCATATGATTTGAACATGTTAACAGAATGTCAAATGTAGCTGTATCCATCATATCGACATATGTTGCAACTTCTAGGTGTCCTCACACAAGTCAGAAACAAAAAGGCTGAACTTTCTAAATACCAGCTTATTTTTCTAAACTGCTTGTTCAAACTTGTTTATGTAAAGACTATGCTGTCTTTACATTGAAATATAATCTTGTATTTTCTCCCTGCCTTTTAAGATCAAGATTTTCTTAGAGCCAGGCAGAGCAGGAGAGACAGATGTGATGAACGTGCTGATACTAGGGAAGTGGTTTCCTTAGCAACAGTAACCAACTCTAAGCATTTATAACTTACCCTCTCCCTACTCATGTACTCTTTATTTTTCTCCTGTAATACAGAAATGTAGGCTTCAGACGCCAACGATGCATTTAATCCAAATGCTCTCTAGTCAGCAGAGCACAGCAAAAGAAGAAAATACTTGTGGGTTCTTCCCATCACCAGCATTAACAGGAGTTACTCAGTGTGATTCAAATTAGCTTTAGAGCATCTTGTGTTCAAGCAGGTCAGGCAAACAATTTTGCTCTGATGGAGAAGCTTCAGCACTAACCTTTCTCTGTTCTGCGACACATACCTCACCATTTTCCAATGCCCAACTAGGTATTTAAACAGCAAGAAGAGGGGGGGAAAAAAAGTAGGCTCTCTGACTAAGAAGGCAACATAAAGTAATAATAGCTAACTCTTACTTTGCATTTTTCTTTCCTAATTTCCAAATGGTCTATAAGAGGTCTCATGCTTAAGAAGTATTATAGTTATCTTAGAAGTTAGGAAATGAACATATAAAAAGATTTAATGTCTTTCCAAAAGACCCTGAATTGATGGAGGGCAGAAATAGACACAACACATCACTTAGTTCTTTTCTAGTTGTATGTCTTACTCAGTGAACGTCCCTGGCTTCCTAATGCAGCCCTTGTCACACAAGATCCTCAGTGTAGCATGCTAGAGAAAGTAAAAAATGTTTTCATATCAATATAACTAAGAGGAAAAATGCGGGGTTTATATATGTAATTGTAAAAGTCTGTGTCTTTCTGTAATGTAACAACAATAAAGGCATAGTAAAGCAGGGCTGTCCTCTTTATTTGAATTTTATGGTGACATATTCCAGCCCATATTTTTTTTTCCTGACAGTCAGAATTATTGCTTTGCCTGTGCTGGCATGCTATAAATATATCAATCCTATAGGCTATAACTGAGATAGCTTTGTAGCTGTCATCAAGAGTGACAAATATGTTGGCAGGGTTTCCCTGACAGGCACTGGCAGAGCAAAATGCTTTTGCAGACAACAGAAAGTAACAGACTATTCTTTCAGCTGGGAGGTACCCTGTGCAGTGCAAAGACTGCACTGCACACCGTGCATGATGGCCACTATCTTGGCTTCTACTCACCTAAGAGTCTCTGGAGCTAAGAAAGCCAGACTTTCTAGAGCCAGATTGAAATATAACTTACTGGAGTTACACCTCTTTCTGTGTAGGAACTTGTTGCAGTAAACAATTATGTCTTTGCTGCTGCAAACTGGTCTATATAAGTGCAGACCATACACATTTTTGAAACAAAAATTGTTTCAAGTGCATCAACTTTTACTTCTTTGCTGTTCTTCAAGAGCTTTCTATTCATTTCCTTTTCCCATGTGAAAAAAAAAAACAACAACCCAAAACCTTAATTAGTTCCTCAAGTGTTTTGCCCAGTTTACAATTTAAATCTGGAGGACTAAAAAAGATTCTGTCAAATACAGTTCAAACAGCAATATGCCTAGGCTTCTTTGTCTTCTACCACCACTACTATCATCCCCTTGACTGGAGATAATCTACTGATTAGTGAATAAGTTGTCTCTGTACATTTACTTCTGCCTAAATTGTCATGAATGAAGAAAAAACTTCCCCTTTTTGATAAGGGACAACCTTATCAAACCTAGGTGCTTTTTGGGCCTCACTGGGAAATCTTCTCGTGAGGTCGTTTTTTAAAATAACATGTAGACAGATTGATTAGCTTTTTTATCAAATGCCTTTCTTCTAGAATTTCAGTGTTAGTACCAGGAGGTGTAACTGCCAAGACTGGCTTGCAGGAACAACTCCTTTTAGTAGTTAAACGAAGTAACGATTCTTTGCAGTTAGATGAGATACGTATATGTGATTTGCTAACAGAGCAGTGAATGAAATATAAACCATAACTAGCTGATAGCCTACACACAAACAATTAAGATTCTAAATTCCTGTATAAATATCTTTATAAGCAGATATTTTTGCATATTGCTTGTACTAGAACCAATGAGTTAAAAGTTGTTCAAGTCAAGGTGCCCTACAAATTTGAAAACTGAGTTTACTTATAGAAAAGACTAATTCCACCTCTATCACCACAGTCCTGCCTGTGAGTAGGGTCAGACAAGAACGTTTCCATGAGATGTTCAGCAATATCAAAGTGTTCCGTGGGAATGAAGCATTTGCAGCAAACAGCTTTTTTTTAGGGAACCTGTCTTGAATTCAAGGCTTGGGGTATTGTGGGAAGATGCCTGTTCAATTTCATCTTAAGCAGTCAAATTTTTTTTCCAAATAAACTCCTGCATTACTGCACTGGGGCAGGCTTTAATGTCTGATTTTTTTTTTTTATTTTATACAGTGTTATGCTATGTTACTTTTAGAATTTCTTATGGATTTTGGTCTGTTTTTTGACAAAATCCATGACTGATAACCAGGTATGTGTTCCAACCTGTCTGCATCCTCACAAAGGACAGGAGGAAATAGAATCAGGACATGAAGAAATAGAATTAGGAAATGGAACGAAGCTGTGTCAGGGCAAGTGTTCAGATTGGACATTAGGAAAAGGTTCTTCACTGGGAGGGGGATCGGTCACTGAAACAGGCTCCCCAGGGAAGTGGCCACGGCACCAAGCTTGCCAGAGTTCAAGGAGCATTTGGACAACGCTCTTAGTCATATGGTTTAGGTTTAGGTAGTCCTGCGAGGAGCAGGGAGTTGGACTTGATGATCCTTATGGGTCCCTCTTCCAACTCAAGATATTCTGTGGTTCTATGTTTCTATGAAAGATAATGTTGTTTATACTGCTTTGTTTTTGAAGGTTTCATCTGCAACCTTGAGCTAAAGATATATATTTTAAAATAAAAATTGTTCCTTAGGACAGTAAGTGGGAGGTGGTATGCCAAGGGAAATACACATTTTATAGACAGGAAAACCAGTATGGAACTGCCATTCTTTCTACTGAAAAATTTAAGTAAAAATAGTTGCAGTGTCTTACCATTTTACTAAAAGAATATGTGAAATGATGGCATTCAGTTCTACGGATGAGAATACCCTTTTTCACAAATGTAAATCATATGGGAAAAGAAAATGCTATAGAAAATAAGGGGATAGCAGGACAGTTCTACATAAAATAGATTTGTCTTGAGTATTATCTCTTACTCTGCATATATTTTTATCCTGAACAAAAAAAAAAAAAAAAAGAAAAGAAAAAAAAGAAAAAAGAAAAGGTATTAAAGGAGATAAGCGCCTTCCACTATGAAAGCTGATAAACTAAGAAAAACAAAAGTTCATGGCCTCTAACAGTTTGAATAAAGTGGGATGGAGTCAGCACAATGGAAGGGGCTATTTTCTGCAAGATATTAATAAGCTTTTTCCTTAAAAATTGGAAACTTAATTCTTTGATAAGATAATCACGTATGCATACTGTATAGGATAGTGATATAAAGTTCAGGCAAAGTGGTATACTACTGAAAGATTGCAATAAATTATGCCACTCATAATTCTTTTTCATTAATATAGTGAGTTTCAACGTTTAAAGGGAATGGTGGAAAGGGAAACCACCATGTGAGAGTCCTCACTCAGCGTTGACAATAATCATTTCCTGAAACATTTTCCTCTTTTTTTAGTCCTGAAGTGCTTTTGAATAACTCTTGCCAATCACAAGGAACCATGCTAGACAGTGTAATTTGGTTTATTGGTGTGGTAAATACCCTGAAGTTGATAAATGGTTAACACATAAGTATGCCAGTGGACCAGGTTACTGCTCTCCAGTCTGGGTTCCGCCCGCTCATTTTTGATAGATGGTCCCACTACCACAGATCTGCCGGCAAAGCTGTTGTGTTACTGCTCTCAAACCTATCATCTATCTCAATAAAAATGTAGGGTTAGTTAACAGGTTAGATGATAGGTTAGTGAAGCTGTCACCAGAGCTGGGTTAAAGAGCACTTGTGTGATAGCTTTGACATCAGATTTCAATGTTGATGAATTCTGCAGTGGGTGATGCTCATCTGTGAAGGGCAGGCCAGGGGTACTAGCTTTTCCTTGCTGTTCTCAAAGCATTCATCTGTCTTCATCCTCACTGTCCCCATAGCTTAAGTATGTTACCTTAAGTATGTACCTGAGTTGTAGAACTGAAGGGTAGATCTTCATCAACGTAACACCTCACCTCCTTGTGTCCTCTTTCAGGGACAGTATAAGCAGAAATCATTTTGTGTTTGAGTAAGTTTTAGAGACTGTAAAAATCTATAGCTTTTGGTTTTCAGGAAAAGGGCATTCATGTAAGTATTTGCCTATACTCACAATATTGAGAAAGGCTAACACTTAAAAATAAACTGAACTTGGGATTGATTAAAAGCCAGCTTTAATTAAGTGGTACAGTTTTATACTGAAACTGACATTCTGCACCTGGAATTAAGTGATCTTCTCCCTCTCTCTTTCACTTGTTCCTCTACTTCTCACCATAAAACACTTTTCTCTTTCTATGAAATATATTTCCGCAGTGCAAGCTGTATATAACATTAAAGAGCAGTTGAGAGATTAACAGGAGCACAGCCCTTTAGAAAACTGGGAAGCCATTCCTCACCTCCCTTCGGAGAATACAATGGACCATGACAATAACAAAGCCTTGTAATGAATCAAATACTGCAAAAAGTATTTGAAATAATATTGATCTTTTGTCTGTCATGGCCAGAACTGCAGACATCCAAGTTAGGGCCAGAAGTGGCAACACCACACAGGAACTCCAAAGGGATGCCCTATTGAAAGAAAGAGAAAAGCAGCACTGTAATATTGTAAAAAATGATTAAAAGCTCACTATTAAAATAAAACATATTTAAGGATGGCACTTTGTCAAGTTAACTTGAAAATCACAGACAAGAATGTAACAGTGTCGGTACTTTATGATCTAAAGAATATCCTGTATTCAGTTAATAAACACAGTTGCTTTTTTTTTTTTTTTTTTAAAAAGTATTTAAACGTGCTCAGCACTCTATACAGTGTTAGCAAACACAGTTGTCATCAAACTATTGTCTCACATGCACTGTATAAGATTTGTAACAAGAAGATGTAAATGATCAGGACTAACATGGCATTACTGGCGGTGGTGGCTGACAAAGCTGTTGTTGAAACTACTCCACACTTGGCACATTTGAGCGTCAAACCGCTATGAGGCTCACTCATCTGACTGCAAACAAACAGAACACCCACAAAAAGAACAAAATATTGAATTGTCACCAAAAAACGTTGCTACTGAAATTTAGCTTTTAAATATGACGTCATGCAGAAAAAGTAAGTAGACTTATTCAGGATGAATGCTCTATGTTGTTGCAAAACTGTACTTTGTACTTCACATTATTGTTAGCTTCAAATGTTAATGCTATGGGGCTTCATTTCATGCAGACTCTATTTCTTCCATTTAAGCTAAAAAAGGCCCCAAATGTCCAGTGATCAAAACTGCTCAGTACACTGAAGTAAACATAAGCACGTGCTAGGATAGACACACAAAGTGGAATCCCTCTATTCAGACCTAAGACTGTTGTATGCAAACTTGCTTGAGAAAGAGTATAGGACACTTAAAGGAGGAGTATGAAGTATGTACAATTAAAAAGCATTAATAGGAAAGAAACCTGCAAAATGTATTCAAGCATCAAATCAGTATGGGCGTACTGTATAGTCAGATTTGTACTAGTCACCTGAATGGCCCACTAACATCTGGATTGATTTTATTCATGCCATATGAAGGTCTGAATACAGGGCTTGAAATGTATGGAATCTGATGAAATAAATATTAGTTGGTACTAAAAAAGGGTGACCTGTTTTTCATTTTAATAAAACACAGTACACAAGCATTAAGCTCAAAGCATTTTGTATGGACAATTGTACCTCAGCACCTGTCAGAAGAGTTAAAGGGCAAAACCTGGAATTTAAATTTTCTTTTACATACAGCATGCATTCAACTTCCTGAGTTGACTAAATAAAGTCTTTTGCTATTCCTTCTCTTTCTGCTCTCAGAACCTGGAATAACCATAGCTGACTGAGATGCGACAGGAAGGGTGCTTTACCTATTCCCAGCTGGAAAGTGGTCAACGTGGTGAAGATAGGTAACACTTCAGTTTTTTCCCAGTTATTTCAACCAATGGAACTCCTTTTTATTGCCAAATCCAGCATTCACATGATTTTTAACATACTGCCCAAAACAACATTGAACTCCAGTGGTTTCCATTTTGATAAACCAAATGATGACTTTCCATAAAAAAGTGCAGTATATTTTCCATAAAAATATAGGTTTTTTTTTAATAAAAAAACAGTGAGACCCATGACCTTGTATAAGGTGATTGTGGGGTGTGAAAAGAACTCAGTGAATCAACCTCAGTTTACACCAATTAAAGATCTACATTAATGAATGAACTAGAATAATGCCTTGGGTAAGCTTAACCTAAGCTTGGGAAAATACTTTCTGTCTTTGCTTGGCAATACTTCAACGTTATCAGACTGGATGATTCTCTTTTCCTCTATGGATTTGTTCTGGATCTTGATGTGTAGATAGAACTTGATGTGTATATAGACCAAATATAATCTTTTTGGCTGGTCATATATGTGTGCTACCCCGTATGCCAGGAAAATGATTGATATCCATCCATCAAGACACTTGTTGATTCTCCACATGCTTATGAAGGTGGAAAAAACCATATGGAGTTAGTATATTTTGCCCCATTCACTGCTTTAAATCCTACATAAATGATTTCTACAGCTGAACTTTTGATTGAACTTTTGACAGGTTTAAGTCCAATGTTTGCCAGAAAGAAAGAAGTTGCCTTCCTGGGCATGGCTGGCAAGAGATATTTGAGAAATGAGTGACAATCCCCTTTCTGATGGAGATCAAATGCTGCACCAATTTCTGTGCCCCAAAGAGTGACTCAAGACTCTCCATCTGCCAAGTAGTATCAAGGAATGCTGTTGCCAAGCCACCATCTCATACTATCACAAAAGTTAAGATTGTTTCCCAATTAGAGCATCTACATGCTTTCCCAGAATAGCTGTATTGTTTCTGACAGAATAATTTCTAGTTCTTTATCCATTTACTTTAAAATAAAATGCCTCTTTACTAAGTTGCGCACTGTTAGAAAGCAAGTTATTTGTTTCATCAGGAAAGTATACTATAAGCAAATAGATTTCTATAGCTGACAACTGAGTAGCTGAAAAACCCCCGATGCAGTTAAATTTAAGCTTGGATATCCTTAGAACATGTACAAAGCCAAACCCATGGCTACTCCAACTCCTTAAATCACTGGAATTAGAGCAGAATGTGAATTTGAATTGGTGATTACTAAGTTATTACTACTCTTGAAATAATTTATGCAGTTTTATAATATTCTAGATTTCATCAGTGTTATTACACAGTTAAGAATGTTGATGGAGCAGTGTAGACAAAAATAAGGTTAAAAAATTGAAACTCTCTAATGAAAAAAGAGGAAAAGAGAAGAAACAAAATGAAAGCTTTTGGTACATATTTGTCAGAACAATGGTGAAGGAGCTGCAAACCAGAAAGATTTAATTGAATTAATATTAAGTGCAAATCACACCAGCTGAAGTATTTATCATAAATTTGCTTATCTAACCAATGAATTGAACTTACTAAGAATGCTACTGTTAGAGAAATGATAAAATAATGCAAAGTGAAGCTGTAATAAATTTACCCATAGCAGTAATACACAGTAAAATAAAGATATCATTGCTTATCATTGCTAGAAATGCAGATATTGGTGGTGTTAACTACATGCTCACCCAAAAGACAATACTAGAACATGTAGCTGTAAAAAACAATTATGCACAGTTTAAATATACTTTCATAAGCTTTAAGAAGGTGATGATGCACTTGTGAAATATTTTTCTCCAATATGGAATGAATCTGGGTTTGTTACTGCAGTGCTTCAAATCATTGTTATCCACTGAAAAACAGTTTCTGATACCACCACCGTCATAATCCTTTCTTCTCATGATAACAAACAGAATTTGAATATAAATGCAAGTAAATAATCAATAACACAATTTCCATTACCTTTTTTCTTTTTTTGCTTTTAAAACATGTTTCTTTACTTTGAAATTCTGTTACACTACTTTAGAACATACATCTATGTAGATATGGATGTAAGAACAAAGGCAAATTGTTCACATAGTCTGACAGAACAGCATTGACCTCAGTAATGAGTATATTACTGTAAAATATATTTTATGACAGTTTACACAAATAAGTAACATTTCCCACCATAGTAATTAAAGTTAACAGCTAGAGAAAAATAATTGGTTCCTTCAGTACACACAGTTCATAAAACTGTTTTCCTAACTGCAACAAGTTTACATGTGTGACATTCTTGTGAAACCTCCACCCAGATTTGTTTAATCCTCATTATTATTAACTTAATACTGTTGTACTTGTGTTTTATTATGTTTAGTTTGTTTAGTTGCATTCCCTCAGGATAATGCAACAACAGTTTTTGAGATGAATGGAATCTGTTAGACACACTGTTACACTGATATAAAAGTTCAAAGCATAATCAAAAGCATTTTTTGGTGAATATCTGTAATTGAAAATTGGTGAAACAATTTTAATATGCTTTAAAATAACCCAATTGTTGCTTACCCCGCTCTGTGTTTGAGCTTTTTATCTAGGATTCCATCTCTGGAAACAAGTTTATTAAATACCAAAATGCCAATCACCATGTTGACCTGTCAAACAGAAAACAAAGAGTTGATCTTTCAGTGCCTGAAAGAAAATACTTTATCCTGCTGTTCAGAAAAAGGCCCTTACAGGCCTGCAAAATGCCTTCTGTTACATTTCGGAGTATTCCATCAGAAATTGTGTAACACTGTCCCTGAGCACAAGAAAAGTGTATATTCTCAAATGGGTAACACATATACGCACATCGCAACAGGCTTATTTTTGAATCTTGAGTTATGCTTGGTATCAAGTTATATGCGTGCATGTCTGCTGGCCAGAAGCTTGAGTAATGTAGCTTTAATATTTCCTCGGTTTTAATTGCAATGATATATCCTATTCCAGGAAAACCACTGCATTTGAGTTGTGCACAAAGGGAAGAGCTAGTCAGAGCACACAATGACCATAACCGTGTTCCTTTTTAAGCATTTACGGTCCATGTGGGTGTCCCCACTTATGCAGAACCAGCTTGTGGTTTTCCATGTCCTCCTGCACATTAGTCATTGTCTATGTCATTCACCAAAATGCCAGTCTTGAGCCGTGTTTGACTACAGTTTCCATTTTTTGGTGGGCCAGATGGATGCCTGGGGTAGGTCTGTTTAGCTCCATTAAAGTAAACGGTGTTATGATCACATACATGGGTTGAAGACCTAACCTAAAAAAAAATCCAAATGTTTCAGCAGAGTTTGGCACACAATGGACATACTAATGGCATTTAATGGACAACTTAATGACTGTTATTATCAATTTGTATTATTGAACTCAATTCTATGAATCTGTCTCTGCATGGCCTGCAAAGAGGTAGTACCAAGTTTTGAATCTATTAAATAAATGTTCCTTATTTTTTTATTAGAAAAGGGTAATCCTTTTTTCCTTTCAAACAAATTTTTCAAGACCTGTGCCAAAACACCTAATTGTTGCCAGTCTGTCCTGCCAACTCTTTTTCAGCTTTTCTTATCACCTTATTTTCAGCATTTACATTTTTCAGCTGATGTTATATAATTCTTTTGCTTCGTACGCTTAGGCTTAAGCGGCTGCATGGAACATCTCCTTCCACAGCTACTAGCTAATGGTAGGGCAAACTGTGGCTGTGAACTTCAAACATCTCTGAACAAAGCTTGCCAATTACACAGAGAACATACAGTTCCATGGGAAAATTATGACTGTTTTTTTGTAAACATCCTTGGCTCCTCTATCATGACAAGGACTGTGAGTTGTACAAAAGGATCCTGGCTTGACTCCAGGCAATGATGAGACAAACTCTATGGGAGCAGTAAACATCTATTCCAGGAAAATCTATGTAGCTAAATGGCTATATCTTTGATGACTACTAAGACCAATTCCCTTTTGCAAGGGAAAATCAGACATAACCGGTGTTGATAGAGCTACCCTAATATAAAAGTAGTGGAGTGGAAAGAAGAATTAGATTCAAAATCTGTAAGGGGAAAATGCTAAATGAATTATTGTAAAAAATCCATACAGAGTGCAAAGCACATGACTGATAGCTGATGGCACATGTAGGGTGCAATTAATCTTACCCTAAAGTAGACACCTGAAATACTTCTGGTGGTTTGAGCCCTAAAAGTGTGTGTTTTTCTCCACTGACAGTGAAATATGGCTGGGATAACTAGCTTCAATGCAGAAATCTACATTGCAGATGTCTACAATTAGGCAAAGTGAATCCTACACCTAAATGCATTTCCAGAGATGTGGAAGATTAATACACAAACAAGTAACATTTCCCAGCTATAATGATTTTTTTCTTTGCCTTCAAAAGCAGTAGCCATGGAGAACTTGCTTGTTGGTTCCACTCCTTCTGTTGCTTCTGCTGGCACAGTGATACACTGCCAAGCAGCACTCTATCAAGACTGTCACTGAACTTCACAAGGCAGTGACAATTGTGTAGATGCTACTGACAATAACTCGGTGATGCCTGTAACAAGTTTTCTGTGCCACTAATCAGTACATTATTCTTTCACAGCTTACTGTGTAAACATGGAGAGATAGCTGGTGTAAAGAAGTGATACAATTAAATGAATCATGCATTCAAAATATTGAAGACATGTTAAACAATTCTGAGCAAAGTATTTAAAGCAAAATGTAATGCTACTGTATAGCTAAGCTTTTATAATTTCAATAGCACATTCCATCATTTCATATGAAAATACAGGAAATTATATTAAAGTTTACCAAGACAACAGCAGCTGCAGGTCCAACGAAAGCATAAAGTAGCCCTCCTTCAAGAGACAGCCAACAGCTGGAAAGAACATTAGAGAAGAACTAACACAAATTAAAAATAAGTATAACACATTGCCAAGAAAGCATTAATAATTACTACAGCATGAGATTCTTCTATGTATGATCAATCCTATGTATAGAGATTCATATGCACACACAAAAAAGAATTACCTTGTTGATATGACGATGTAGAGAATAGAAAGTTATTTCCATTACCAATTGTTAATGTTTCAAAAGTTTTAATGTGAATTATACATATACAGAAATGCCTAAAATGCATTAAAAGCACAATAGAAAGTAAGTTTGCAAATCTTTATTGAATCTCCTCTAACCATATATGATGAGTTAACTGAACAGGACTTGCCAGATAGGTATCTAGAAACATTTCCAGTTTACAATGTCTGACAGTTCTATACTTAAAGCAATGAAAGGTCAAGTACCTGTAACGTGGAACTTCAGAAAGAACAGGTTTCTATGTATCTTGTCTTATGTCATTTAAGAATTGCTATTAGAACTAGGTCTTACAGACGATATTCCCATTAAAGAAAAATAATATATGATCTAACTGTTCTGTATTCTCTGGAATATTTTGCAAACAATTTAAATATATATTTTAAAGCATCTGAAAACTGTATTTTTTGGTGAGCTACTAATCTTGCAGAGTTTGTCATACTGCATCAGGGCTTTCACTGAAAACCATCAGATTTCCAAACACAGAGCGCTTACAGAATCAAATTCTAAATATTTGATACACCATGATGTAAAGCTTTCCATATCTGTAAAAGATCAGGAGCTTCACACACTGAAGTAAATGCAGCTGTGCTATTTTCCCAGTGATTACACATTCAAAGAACTGCATGTTTATTTGAATGCATGATCACACCTACATATAAGAAAACTCAAGTATATGCGTTCAAATAATTTACTTGTATCTCACATCCAGAAACATTCACATCAGAATCACACATATCATCTTTATTTTCCACTACTCTTTTTGTGCTTTTGAAAATGAAGTAAATTAAATGCAAGCACATCATAATATTAATAGTCTGTTACGGCTGGAATTCTAACTGCAAAGAATAAAAGTGTTTCCTGTTGCAATGAAGCCATGTGAAATCTGCCACATGAACCAAACAGCATCAGTGTGCTAAATCCTGGAATGATAAATTGATGCAAATAGTTCATATCTGCTTCACTGTTAAAAAGGTAATACTTGTTAGGCTATTCTACATCCTACCTCAAAAAACAACTACAACAATAATGTTCAATTTATTTTTGTAATGTCAAAGAAAAATGCTTTCAAAATTTTCTGCAATTTTTCTTGCTATTTTTTCAAAAGCTGGGTTATTTATTGTGAGAGACTGAGAACATGGGCTTCTGAGAGGGGGGAATGTATGCACAGTGCATTTCGCTACCAGTATGAACTTTTAAACTTAGTGAAGTAAATTACAAAACACTTTATAAGTAGAAAAAGCAATGAAGCTCCTTGCCCATGGTTTTCTATGAGAAGAGTGGTAGAGTTGGGAGCAGAAACTGAACTTCTTCAATTCTGGTCCAGTTCTCCATTTGCTTGATCAGACTAGCTACAATATTAATTCTCCATCTATTTTTGTACTAAAAGCAATTTTCCAAATTTGGCTTTTGAGGGGGAGGTTAATATACAAGTTACTTCACTGCCTTGCAGTGCTTTAAATTAAGATATAATTTGAGCAACCTGATCTAGTGAAAGATGTCCCTGTCCGTGGCAGGAGGGTTGGACTAGATGATCTTTAAAGTTCCCTTCCAACCCAATTCTGTGCTTCAAAGATGACCACTCTGCGTAACTAAGACATGTAATTAAAATTTTCATGTTTATTGGGAGATAGAAACATAAGTTCATAAAAATTATTCATGTATTGTATTTGAAACATAATTTCAGCTACCTGTGCTGAAAAAAAGGGTCAACAAGTTTTTTTAAATAAAAAGAAAGCAGTCTACCACAAAAATCTTTAAAACCAAGGTAGAATTGTTCCCTCCCTTTCCCATGCCCCCAAGTAAAAAGGCTGTTCAAAAGAGTGACTTTCATTTAGAAGCAGAGCTGGAAAAAAATGTAGAGATTGTCCTCTTTCTTTACACAATCTAAATTTTCAACAATCTCAATTTTCAACAATGTGTGATGTGATTATTGCAATGTATTCAATATCTGCCAGTTGATGACTCTGAAATGCGTTTTTCCCCAATCTTTTCCTGTTGAAGACTTTCTGAAGACAGGTTCTCAGGTGCCTTCTTATACCGTAAGGCAGTTGTTGTCAATTTTTTACTATTTTTTCCTTCTTCTCTTCATTTTCTTTGCTCTGATAAATTTTTTCTATGCTTTATAGTTCTTTTTATTTTGTTCTCCTGTTCTGTCTTCTTCCTCCCTGATCCCCACATAGCAAAAAGCCATATAAATTTATTAGTATTAAGAGCATCCACTGGTTGTTTTATGGGACCATGTTACATGGTCATAAAATTCTGCTGAATGATGAAGTATCTGTAGACTTGCTCCTGTGTCCTGTACATTTTGTGTGTTGTTTGATGCTCTCCAGGAGAACGGTTCCTTCTCTTAGGAGAGCATGACTATGACAGCATTTTAATTTTTGCTGATATAACGAATTCCTGGAAGTTATCTGCACTGTTTATTAATATATAGCACAGCATGTAATCATGAGTAGGTCACGCAAGTTTATTAACTATAACTTGTAGTAGTGGTACTTTCGTAGCTCTGATTGTCTGAAGAGAGGTAGCAACAATATTTATTAGACTCACAGAAATAGTTGGAAAAAACAATCAAGCTTTCAGACACAAATCTTTTTCAGATATCCTGACATATCTAAAAACTTGTCACTCTGTTTTTTTATTATTTTTAGGAAATCCCTTCAGCTTCTGTATCTATATCAGTACAAGTGTCTGTGCGAAATATTTTTCATATGTAGTTTTAAATGTACAGTAAGATAATTGTCTAATAATTAGGACTGAATGAAAAAGATAGAAATCAGAGACTGTTGATCACAGAATTGGTTCGAGTGTGAACAATTCAAGCCACCCCCATGAGTCATATACCGTAAGAAACTGAGATCTGCTTCAAAGATCCTTAGGCCTTCTCCCTTTCCATCAATCTCTTCATATATGGGATTGGAAACAGTTTCTTCATTTTCACTCTTAATTTTCTCCATTTGAAACCTTCATTTTCAAAAATAGCATCTTACAGACCAGGAATAGTTTGCAACGGGATGCACTTCTGATGGCAGCATGTGTGTAATTGATTGCAGCCAAACAGGCCAAATATAGTGTAAGCAGTTAAAAAACTTACACAAGTGCTTTAGTTATGGGAAGAGGAGCAGGAGAGGAGCTCTGCTTTTACACCGCCCAACAGTTGTTATGGGACACAATTCTTTGCTGGCTTCTAGAGCGGGATAGCACATCAGCTGGTGATGGAAGAGGAATCTCCATTCCTTGCGTTCCCTGTTTTCCTTATGTAATTCTGATGTCAAATGCCAGAAAATGTATTTGCAAATAAGATGAGAAAGCTGCATTATGGTTCTGTTTGTCCCTTGTATACCTCCTTTTGTGCTTTTGTCCCATGGTACTGTGTCAGCTGATTTTGGACCCTGGGAGAGGAGCTGTTACATGTACAGAAACCTGCTCTTTTTTACTTTCCAGGTTACCCTTAATGAATGATTTGTTGCTTTGTCTGAATATTTCAGTATATCCTCTTTTAAAAATGCATTCAGCCCAGGAAGGAAGCAGGAAGCAACACTAACTAAAGCAAGTAGTCACACATGAATAATTTCGGTAGAGTAAATGCAATGGGATTGATCCTGCAAGGGACAGAGCTAAATCCCCAATGGGGTCTGGCATTGTAATCTTGTGATTTGTAATTCTGACAGCCTAAATGGTTCTCCAGTCCTGGTTCAAGGACTAAATAATAAAAAAGCCAGCAAGATGAGCACATATTAGTTAGAAAAAATGTCAGAGGAGTAGGTCCTCAATATAACTCCCAAAAGATGGCTAAGACCGTTGTTTCACTAATAATTGCCAGCTATACGTGCAAGATAAGCACTTCAGTTAGGAAAGCCATTCCTCATTAAAAAAATGCAAGATGCACGTTGTCACAATTTAAAACTAAAGAGCTCAGTGGTTAGAGCCGGTATTCAGGAGATTTGGTTTTGAATCCTTACCCACCCGGAGCTGGAGCGAGGGCCTGAAAAGCCTCCCCTGCCATGTGCCAAGATGGTAGGACACACAGGGCAGGGAGGGGGAATCCTGATCTCACTCAGTGATGATGCTGAGGAGAATAATTAAATATTCATTGAAGCAAGGACTTGACCTAACTCATGCACATCTCTGATGAATGCCCTCATTACCAGGCTACAGTCATATTTCCTCTCTTTCTGTCCAGATGCATACTTAATTTCTTGGGCAAAGGGAGGAAAGCTCCAAACAGGACAACTGAAGGAAACGCACTCTCGCATACATCATGTCTCCGTGGTCGGAGTGCTCTGCTGGCAGGTAGTTCCTTCTTCAGCAGGACACAACCAAAGGGCAGCCTCACTGAGGAGTGAATTTTCCAGGGTGCTAAATACGCACTGGAACCAGCCAGGTGGCTAAACATGAACTGTATTAATAAAATTAAAATGAAGTACACAGATCTCCTCTTTGTTGTCTCTCAAGTACAGCCCAGTCCAGGAAATGGGCTCCATCAGGCACTCCAGGAGAGAGGGTCAGCAGGACACAACCAAAGGGCAGCCTCACTGAGGAGTGAATTTTCCAGGGTGCTAAATACGCACTGGAACCAGCCAGGTGGCTAAACATGAACTGTATTAATAAAATTAAAATGAAGTACACAGATCTCCTCTTTGTTGTCTCTCAAGTACAGCCCAGTCCAGGAAATGGGCTCCATCAGGCACTCCAGGAGAGAGGGGATGGATGTGAGAGCTATTTTGAGATTTCTGTGGGGCTTTGGATCCAAGCAACTCAGGGGCATTAAAGCCGAGGTACATGCTTGGTGGGCAGAAACCTGGGTGTCAAAGAGACTATTGTCAGTGCAGTTTTAGACATGTTTAGAGGATGGCAAAGGCTATGCATAACATTTAACGTTATCTTTGGTAAATGTATATAAATGTTAGGTGTCTAAGAGGACCTAATCCTCACTGTTTGTAAAAGGCTTGGTACTTCAAAACCTCACAAGAAATCCAGGATCCCAGGCGCTTTGCTGAGCTCAGTCCAAGACCGGCATATAGTTTTCTCTTTGTTCTTTTGTGGACCACTCAGTGACTCTTAGGGCAGTTCCAAGTGTGAATGGATACTTATAGAGCCTTTAGACTATGCTATGTAATTCCTGATGGGTATGACAGTCTTGTAATTAAAAACATAATTTATCATTTCAGATTGACTTACTAGTGGGCTGTTCCATATCCTTTTGTCTTGGTAAAGCCTATTGATATTGCAACCACTAATGCTGGTAAGCCTGAAAAAAAACCCAAAACAGTAATAACAATTAGATGCTGAGCAAAATATTGCTGTTCTTTCTGGACAAAAAATGACAGGGCAAGCTAATGCAAAATGGCCAATTTTACATGGAATGAATCATTTAATGAAGCACAACGCTATTGCAGGATTTGTTTTTCTGAAGCACTGCAGAAGGACACTGTTTTCTGCCCATGGTGTACCACTTTGATGTAGCTAAATTACTGGTACATTTGACAGGTCTTAAAGGAAGAGGCTTCATGAATATTCAGTGAATGTTTTTTCTTGTTTTATTTTGATTTCTTGATATTTCACTACTTCACTGAAAATCTTCTGAAATGTTGTTAAAATGTATTTATGAAAGAATGCTAACATATACACCAGCATAGCTTAAGCTTGAGATAAAGTGGAAAGGCTCCTAACCTAGTTTTCTTTTCAATAACGTGCTGTCTACTATCTTCCAGGTTTACTGAAGAAAATTATGATATTCTCGACATTGTCGCTGCATTAAATGTTTCATTCCAATGATTCTAAGGAAATGAATTTTACAGACTTACCCCATCCAAGGCACAGGAAACGTTTCCTTATGAGCCGTGTCCTAATTTTTCCAGTAACAGCCATATATGACTGCCACGCTTCTGTCAAAACCCAACAGAATGAAGCTAAGAAGAAGAAGTGTAAAAATGCGGTGGTTGTGGTGCAGATGCCCTGCAGGGAGCAAAAAGAAGCTCATGCTGAATACTTAGGGACACTCATTTTTCTTTTCAATTCAAAGAGTTGTCATATTCTATCATCTTGACCTTTATCCTTAGCATCAACTCCCCCTTTATGGTGTGGTGGCCACAAAGAAAGAGAAAGAAAGAGAGATGGGGATGGCAGAAGAGGTTTTGACTGTTTTCGCAAACACTGAGTGTGCCGAGCAGAGACAAAGAACACAAAATAAATCATGCCATCAGATTTTTCTCTACACATTTACTTTGACCAGGGATCATCATAAAGCCATTGTGGTAAGGAAGTTACAAAGTTACTGATTATAAAATGTCACAGAGCTGAATAAAGAAAATGTGGGGATACAAATGCTCCTAATTGCCAGCTGTATTTTCTTTCCCTCCATGCAGAAAGATCCTGACTAAATCTAAATTTTAGGCAATAGGTTAAGTTTGATTTATTTGATTTTTTAATTTAAATCTTATAGAACATTAACCCATCGGAATATACTGCCTGAGATCTTTTTAGTCATGTTTAAGTATCATAACCTTAACAATTACCCTGGATATTGTTTTTATGAGTGTCAGTCATTTGTCATCTGAAAAGTATTTTGAACACATGCAGTTGGCTTTCTTTTGCCGCTGTAGTCCTTAATTACACTTGGCATTGTAGCTTATATAAATGAACTTCTTGGCGTAAATGATGATCTACCCTCCACGGTGTTGCTTAAAATGCCAGTTGCAGGCTATGAAATACAGTGTGCATTGTACCCCAGAACCAAAACCACACCAATAATGTTGAGAATATCCTTATCACAATTTATTCTTATCACAATTTGAAGTGTCAAAATTGTATCAAGGTTAAAAAAAAATATTTCACACACCCAACATTAACAATGCAAGATCGTATTTGAGAAATGTAGTTATTATTTTTATGATTATTTCTTTATGCAGCATACACATCTAATAGCTATCTTACACACATAAAATAAAAGGCTAGTCAATTTTTTTTACTAAAATCCCAATTTAGCAAATTATTTAGGGAGAAAATATGCAAGTTCCTAATTTTATACAGATGCTTGCATATATTGTTGAATCAAGGCTGATAGCTATAAAAATTCGGGAAGGTTAAGATATATATGACACCACACATGTTTTTTAGTTCATTGTATATTCCTAATTACTTTCAGGTCTTTTTGTTTTGAATTTTCTAATGCGTTAAGTTTCCCAGATTCTCATCTGAAATCAATTGTGTTGGTTCACTCCAATAGTTATCTCAAATATATAACTGGTAGCTGATATCAGCAGATATTAACATTAGCGGATATCAACCTCTGAACTTTCAAAAAGTTATGCACTTGAAGAGTCAAAACTTAATGATTTCATGTTATGAATTTACAGATGTGACAAACACCTTGTTTTGTAATCCTGGATCAAATTGTCTATTTAAGTCTGGGGGAAAGGGTTTTATATAATTATATGCAAGAGAACTATTTATTTTTAAAATGAGAGGAATGTAAACTGGAAAAAAACAGCAGATCCTGAAAACGCACTAGTCATTCCATCCTAGATTTTGCCATTGATTCTTATGTTTAGATGTCCCTAAGTTATGTGGATTCCTAAAATAGATCCTGTTAAAGCCTGACTAATAGCAGTATTTTCTGTATATGAAAAATAAATACTTATTTAAAATGAAAGCTATGCACAGAAACACACAATAAATATAATAGAAAATACGGAAATGTCCTTTCTTTTACCAGCTGGCTCATATGTTATGAATTCCCACTATGCAACTTTAATTTGCTTTTCTATCAATGTTTTTGTAAAAGCTAGCATGTTCTGTTGGAACAAGAATTTGGCAATAAAATGACTTTTGAGGAATAATACAGAATCTTTTAGGGAGAAACTGCATAGGTAAACCACAGTATTACCCTGAAAGAAGTGTGAATATACTATTTCCCTTATAAATAATGCAAATACAAACAAATTCTGATCTTTCTGATGAAAACATTGCTAACTCATGGCTGACTGAGTATAGACTGTAGGATTTAGTTCATAACTTATCCCCTGTATTGAAAGAAAGATAGATAATGATAATCTGAGACAAATGTGGACATGGCTGTTGTGGAAGAAAGAAATGTGATGAAAATGGTAATGATCATGTTGATCACAAAATCAGAAGACAGAAGCAAGTTTTATTAAAAGCGATCTGTGCTCTAGCTGGAATATATGACTGCTGATTATAACTAACTCTTCTGAATGGCAGACAGGGGTCTTGAATGAACACCGATGGTAAGTCTGTATCACTGATATAACAGTGTATTTGCATCACACACCATCAGAAAGATGCAAATCAGCCTCTAAACGTCACCTAACCACTGCTGTGGGATTGTGATGACAGAATCGTGTGCAGGCAGTGCTTGAAGTGAATTCAGCCTTCCTCCTTCCCCAGCCAAAGCAGCAGTCCTGGCAAATGAAACTCCCCTCCCCCAGGTAGAGCCATGGGCTCAGCATGGTTGACCAATAGCCCCCTGGAAATTTGGCTTTTATGTACTTCTGTATTCTTCCCCTTTGATAAACAAAAAAATAAACAATGCTGTTCTGTCTGGGAAAGCACTATGTCTGGGAATTCTATTTCCAAATAGGAACAAAAATTCATTTTCACCAAAGGCTGTTATTAAATGGGCCATTCAGTATCTCCAGCCAGGGAGCCATAATTTTAGCAAGTACTTTATTAGTATTTTTTCCTATCTCACCAGGTCGTGGACTACTCCCAATCTGTCCTTCTCCCTCTCCTCTTCTCCCTTATCAAAGGACCACGACCTCCCCTCACCTTGCTGCACATGCAGCAGCATCACTAAAAGCTCGTGGCCCATCACTCACAGAAAGCCGCAGTTGTGTCAACCTGTCTGCACCAAGAGATAGTGGTACACATCTTCCCCATTGCTTTAGGAGGAGATGGTTTCTATTTGTTTCTAATTCTAGTTTATTAAAACTCACTGAATTAATTACCTGTGCTAAGCACATGTCAACTTGCAACAAAATGAATTTTAACAGCCTAATTTATTCACTATTTCTTCAAGCTTCTGAAATTAAGTCAGCTCTGTTATTCTAACCTCTTCTTCCTCCCATTGCTGTTGTTCTCAGCTCCCCATATTTAATTCTGATTACAAGTGGGGGAAGGGAGCTTTTCTGTCCTCAGAACGCACAATTTCATGAGCTTTAATTGAGCTTCAAGTGTTTAGCTACCTTGAATATCTAAGTAGACCATTCATCCCTTTTTAATAAACAATATGCTACTGAAAGCAAGAGCTCATACCAGGTACCAAATTATTTCCTTCTTTCACTCTTGTAAGACACCCACTCTGAATGAGGGTACTGAAGCACAGCTGAGAAATGTAAAAAACAGTGCAAATTCAAAGCTACTTATTCTAGCAATTAATATTTTTAATGTAGTAATGATGAAAAATATAGAGAACATTTATCCATTTTTATGACCTACAAAAAGTAGGTAATAAATGCAACCTCAAAATAATAATTTATCATTATTTTTAGAGCATCTGGTTGTTGTTTTTTTTAAAATAGAACAGTGCTCTTTTTTAATAGCAGTGTGAACAGGTCTTCCACACAAAGACAAAGAGGGTTAAGTAAGGACACCTGATTTCTCTTCTTGCCCTGAAACAGGTTCTTTTTCCTTCAACAAACTAATTGCCTGTCTCTGGGTTCTGATAAATAGTATAAGAATCAAAACTACTGGAAAATGAACATGAAAAATGAAATCTGATTGGTGATGATAGCAAAATGAGTAGGGCTAAAATCTACTCAGCTGGATTATGTCATGAAGTAGAAATGAAAGCTAGTAGAAAATCCTTTGAATAATAAAATTTCTTGGAGGTTGACAAAAATCTTGCCCTTGATTTAGCTCTGAGGAGATAAGCCTAAGGAGATAAATTAAATGGGTGTTAATTTTATTCTTATGAAGTTCTGACCATGCACTGAATACACAAACAAAGACCACTTAAAGACCACAACAAAAAATAAATGAAACAAAGGACAAAAAAACCCAAAGAGAATGCAAAGAACGTAGCAAAGAGCAGAAATATAATTCTATGTCAAAACTGGTATATTTCATTGGCTTTTTGTGACTCTCAAGTCCTCAACTATAAAACAGTTTATCTTTTCCTTCTTTAAATTAAAAATATAAATTCATAAAGGAACATACGGCTTATTATTCTTTATTTGCATTTTTAAACTGATTTGCATAATACAGCACCTTTGTCTCAGGATCAGCAGACACTGTCAGAATACAGGGATCCAGTATACTGGTCAGATAATACTGAATTCTAAATTAAATACTAATTTCTAAAGTAAACTGCCACGAAATAGTAGATGGACTTGCAGAGGCTGTGGGGCAAAAAAGTAAGGGCTTGCATCTCAGGAGTGTTTTTCTGGAAGGGGGACATATTTTCAATGACAAAAAAAATACGGCAAGGAAGGCTGTCTCTTCGGTTGCAAACATATCTGAAAATGTTGGGATCTTAAACAGCTGAGAAATCATAGCTGTAGACTTTCAGGTTTCTCTTCCAGGATCATTAATATTACTGGCACCATAAAGCTTTGAAGGTACCATTTCATTTAAAAAATCCCATGTTCTTTTCTTTTGCCAGACTCAAGTACTGCTAACACCACTTGTTCAAGCAAAGAATTCAGGAAATCTGATACCCATATTGAAAATAGCACTATAGTAGAAAGAATTGTTCTAAAATAATGTTATTCATATTTTAAACCAATAGCTATGAAACTATTTACTTTAATTAAATTATAGACAAACTTTTAGATCTTCTAAAAATCTTCTCCGGTGTCCTTCAAAGTTGAAGGCTCAAGTGGTTTAACTTCATTACATTGTGTTCTGATATCCGACACGATAACTCAAAATAATTAACATTTGACTTCATGAGCATTTATGTGAAGAGATATGCACAGTTGTTTATTATACTGTAGGATTCTCTATGTGATACAAGACAACGTAACTGTGTAAGTATGGTAACTTTTACTTGAATTTTTTAGAGCAAGCTATTTTTTTAGTGCAACAGCAGTGGGTTTTGCGTAGTTATGTGATCTCCCCCACAAAGATAATGAGTGATAACTAAGGACACTCAATTTTTTGTTCTTCTACTCAATCATTTTTGTTGGTCCACAACAAGCAAGATGCCTTTCTAGGTTCTGATAAATAGCTTATAAGTTGTCTGTAAATGACCCAGTTGTTGTTCCTTTGGTTTAGTTTACAACTACAGTCTCACAAAGGACATCTATATCATCAACAGCACTGCAATGCCACAGGAAGATATTTTCAGTATCAAGTTTGATTTTTTTTTTTTGGTATCATGTGCAAATTATCACAACAGTTGCTAAACTTAAGGGCCACTACATGTGCCCAGTCTCACGGTGCAGTATAATTTGTTCAGCTATTTTGATTTAAGGTTTATTTATCTGTCATATCTTGTCTTCTCTTCTGGAGTTTGTCCTCTTATCTGACAGTATAACCCCAGTGATCCTAATGCAATATTAAGTGTGACTGAAAGAAAACTTATACTTTAAACTGTAAGTTTTGTCTGCATTTGCACTTTCCAGACACACTTTAAATATCTGTCTTCTTATTTTCACCTAAAATTTCTCTAGATGCTTTACTGACAGATTCAATTCCTGCTCCTCTTTTTCCAACATGTACCTCAAAGGTATTTCTGAAAATTACCTCTCTGTGAGTAAAACATTCACAATCTTTATTGACACTTACTTATGAAGATCAGTCAGAATGTCTCCCATTTTTTCCCAGGTGCAGGGTCCAGCAATAGAGATGCTTTCATATCTGATCCACTAAAAGTATACGGAGCCTTCTTTTTAGCTTCTGCCCTTTGCAGTTACTTTTCTTCAAAGTTCTCCATTGATAGTTGTCACCTCTATCACTCATATGAATAACCTCTGCACTTAAATTTGATACCGTATAGTTGTACTTTGGCATCCCTCAGTTAATGTCTATAGCGAAGTGCTGGTTTTTATCCAAACTAATTCCTCTGCTAGCCACTATTCTTCTCCAGACCTTATAATGCACATAGTACAAAATCATTCTATCAACTAAATGTGAAGGATAGGCTGCTGTTTTTTGGGATGGAAGAGAATTCATGAAAGTTGCTTGCTGCATATGCAAACCTTTCTTGTTCTGTTGTGTGGCAGAATCTGTCTACGCTAGTAACAGTAAAGGCATCCTTTATGCACTGGCATGTGATTCATGTTGCTAAATTGTGAGTGTGTTTCTTGGCACAGTCTTGACCTGGGCCAAAAAATGCTCTCCCAACCCATGCCCACGCACAGGTTGATGGAGAGCCTGGGCCAGGAATCCTGCCCAACGGTCAGCTTGCACACAACTGTCCTGCTGCCCTAGAGGTCTCTGTTGTAGTGGATGCAAGCCCTATTGTGCTAATTTGCATCGGGGCTATAGAAATATTTGTGGCTCATTTTGGTTATTGGTTAAGATAGAGGCAAGAAGTCCAGCTGGATAATTCATAACATGCTCAACGATTACTAACATATGAGAGAGTAAAACTCATTCTGTGTTGTTCACAGCATTCTCTGGAGATTGTCGGTGCAATGCACAAGTTTGTAATGTTTTAACTCAGAATTGCTTTCTTGGTGGCATGCCTACTGTAAATTGAAAGCCAGTTGGAAGACAGTTCTCATACAGTTTTCTTACGCTCATACTCATTTTAGTCTTCCTCCCGGTTTGGATTGTTATTGCTAGGTTATATTCAAGCAAATGAGCACAGCACAAGCAATATCATAGAACAGGTTACTCAGAGGCAATTTAATTTCTTCGATTACAAAACCTGGCAAGGGAAGCTCTTCCCTTTTTGCCTTTGTTCTGTGAACATATATATTTTTCTGGGCAGGCAGGAAATGAAGGATTGTTTACAGTATTAATTCAAAAGTCGGTGGAAAGAATCTCATTAATTTAAGTGGGCTTTATATTGTGCGTTACACCTATAGTTTAAGGGATGAAAGGTGCATGAGCAGAGGCTTGTGATCTTGCTTCTTATCCTAAGTGTTTTAAATGTTTACAAAGTATTGGATGAATATTTTTCTGGTAAGTGAATAAGGCCTAGTTCACATCATGAATTTATTCTTTTGGCTTTGACGTTAAACACTTTAAAAAAGGTAAATGTCAACTCTGCCAGGACAAAATAACTTAGTATTTTAACTATGTCCTCACATAAATGTGTTGTGAAGTTTATGAAGCTCAGAATAGCAGGTTTTCAGGCAGACATAAAAGAAAACAAGAAGCCCTTTACAACTCTGAAGCACAAAACCAATTCAAATACAAGTTTTTCAACTTCTTCCTCACTAATTAATCTCAAATTGCTATCACTGTGTTGTAATAGTGATGTTTCACTGTGCCAGAGAACACCCTTTCCAAGTTCTCTTCTTTTTCTTGTATTTGGTAATTTTTCTTCTCAGAAATCAACCCTTTTGAGTGTAAAGTGATCATGTTCCGTTCAAGTAAAAAAGTGAAAATGGCATGCTTTGTTAAAACAACTTCTTCGTTACTGAGCTATTGAGGAATGACAATTAAAAAATGAAACTGAAGGTGATGCTATCCTGAAAAATTACTCTATAAAAATAGCTTTGTGAGGTTTTGCATTACCAAGTCTGAAAGATTTCTTATTTAAAGATGGATAAAGTATAGATTTTTGGATAAAATATGGATGTGTTTTTTGAAATGATGGGCAAGCAAAATCAACCTGGTCTCTGAAAACCATTGAAGAATTGAAGTTCTTATGTTCTTGCACAGCATTGAGGGTAACAGTATTGTAAAAGCAGAACT